TTTATGGGCTGGTGGAATCATTGGTCCGTACTTCTTCAAAAACGATGAAGGCCACAACGTTACAGTCAATGGTGATCGATATAGAGCCATGATTACTATCTTTTTCATTCCTGAATTGAACAATCATAATGTCCAGGAGCTGTGGTTCCAACAAGACGGCGCAACATGTCCCACAGCTCGTGCCACAATCGATTTATTGAAAGACACGTTTGGTGGCCGCCTAGTTTCACGTTTTGGACCTGTGTATTGGCCTCCAAGATCTTGTGATTTAACACCGCTAGACTATTTTCTGTGGGGCTATGTAAAGTCATTGGTCTATGCGGATAAGCCACAAACGCTTGACCATTTGGAAGACAACATTTGCCGTGTTATTGCCGATATACGGCCACAAATGTTGGAAAAATTCATCGAAAATTGGACGTCCAGATTGGACTACATCCGAGCCAGCCGTGGCAGTCCTATACCAGAAATCATATTTAAAATATAATGCCACAAGATTATCTTTTGAATAAAAAAATCATGTCAATCGAATAATACATCGTTGTTTTATTGCAATTTAAAGTTCTATATCTCTAAAAAAACACCCTTTACTTACCTTTACAGCTGCAATGACTCAAGTAACACCCAACCCCCGCACTATCGTTCGGGTAACGAAATCGCGAGTCCTGCAAGCAACATTAATACAGTAGAATTAATTTTTTTTCCTATTTTAAAATAAAATTTCCTATTTATATAAAAATTTGTATCCAAGCAATTAGAAATATATTGATAATTACCTTTTTACGACAGATAAAAAGAAGACGTGTTTTCGTTGTATTTCAAAACAAAGCTAGATTTGCCAGCTGAAAGTAAAACATGGAACACAATCATCGTCTCTCTCTCTGTTGAATAAAAGTACTACTTTAACCCTTTCGGCAAACCGGTTCAATCGTTAGATTCACGATTTTCTTACATACGACTATTCCATAAGCAAAAACGTCTAAGAATATTTAACCTTAGAGGGATGGGGTTTTTAAAGGAAAGGGTTTGTTCTTAAAGGGATATGCAAGGAGTGGTTTATCTCTAGAACATTCGAAATTCATCCTAAACCGATGAAAAACGCATCACATTTGACTGTTGACACACTCAAAATGGAATTAATCAGTTAAAAACAATTCAGTCATGCTAGGATCAAGTCCACAAACATTATTTAATATGATTCCATGATTGAAATAAAAAAGAACTCAAAAGATTCAATAAAGGTTTCAATTTGAAAATCTGTCTTTGCAAAGGTATTTTAAATAAATACAAGAAATGTCTCAGCATTTATATACGTTATCAAATGATAATATGAAAAATGTCAAAGAAAGTATATTTTAACGAAACATCAAAAATCAATCTTCTATGCGGCATTATTTGACGAATCATTTCAATTTAAGTTTTTTATTTTATATAACGGCCTATCTTCACAACGTATGATTTATTTGAAACCCGTTTTGGATAAACTCCGTATATCTTTCAACACTTAAAAATCCTGTTTAGCTAATCTTGAGTTTAACCCTTTGATATCCATATCCTGCTTTGATCATGTTTCTACATCGGATCATTAAAAAGAGAAACTAGTTGGATGTTATGTGTGGGAACGGATGAAAAGAGTCTTTTGTAAACCGCTCTAGAGAGACCCAATTAACAGGGTGGCTGAATATGAATTTGCAGTTTCGAAAGAATGGGTAACGAATGCAATGAGACCTTTCCAAATTGTCTCGTATGTTTGGAAATATAGGATGCAATTTATTTCCCATTTAGTTTTTGGCGAGCACTCTGAAATAAAAATGAGCCCCATGTTACATCTTAAAAACTGATAATTATTTTCACATGTAGTATGTAATAAATTTGAGACAAATGATTATAAGTGAGGTATAAAGGTGATAAAAAATTTGCTAAAATTATTTTAAACTTTAAAATGAACCCTCAAAATGAGAGAAAGAAATAAGTATTTTTGTTAAGCGGAAATTTATGCATGTATATTTAACAATTTGATATAGTATTATTCTTAATTTTAATCTTGTATTATTTCCCATAAAATTTAATTACCAATACTGGTTTTTAAAACATAGTGCTCATTCACTTTCCCACGGAAAAAAGAATAGACTCTGTCTTGATTCATTTCCAATCCATACAAAAGAACAATAAAATACGCATGCAAATCTCAAACATTTGTGGGGCAACAAATTTAAGCCACCTATATAACCACCTACATAGTTTATAATACCACAACTATTTTCCTTTGCTTGAACGCGTGATTATAACAATCTCATTGTGTTTTTTTTATATTGTGATGGAAGTGGTTCTGCTGCCTCTCTTTTGTCGATGGGCAAATGTAGAGAAAGGTCGCATTACACACTCTCTCCTGATGTTTAAGGTAAATTAATAAATTTTTCTAGTCTTCTCTGCACTTTCTTTACTCATGAGTACGTTTTTTTTTTTTGAAGTTTTACTTCTTTTTGCGCGGTAGGGAAAAAAGATGAGGGTAAATTTTACGATGCGCGCACACACCGTTGTATAATATTTTAACGTACCACTTTTTTGGTGCTAGGGGACTCATATTTGAGGGGTCGTAATAACTATTGTTATAAACCACATCTGTTGGGACGCATTCGTCCCGGTGCATCCCCCCAGTACAGCTTTTTGTCCAATATATCGGCACCCGAGCCTAACAGTCCATTCGAACCTGACCCATTCAATTCCTCTGTATCTGCTCTTATTATTTCATGCTCATTGAGCTATTTCTCTTCCTTAGTTTTTAAATGTTTTAAACATTTTTAAACATTTTAAATTTGTTTAAATTTACAATATCTTGGCTCCTGTTGGAGTCTCGAACTTCAAATTTGAGCCAACTGTTTCACTCGTCGAGACCCATCCAGTCATCTACTTCATTCCCATTGTGTAGCCATAGGGAGGGCTTAAGCACTAAAATATCATGCTTTCATGTTAATCCTATGGGAACTAGAAAAAATTTCATCCCCCTTAAGAAGTTGAGCATGGGACTTGATTTTTGCAGGTCCACCATATTTTCGTATTAGTGCGAGCTTTACGTGGAATTGGCCCCCTCCGGTCCTCCCCACCCAACAGGGCTTCCCAAGTAATAACTCGAATCCTATGCCACCTTGGTCGACCGCACCGGCTGGATTCAATTTTTTTCCCTATGAGCATCCTAGATATATTTTTTCAGGACCACATAGCCTTATTTCTTCACATATATTTAACATTTTTTAAATTATTTTAAAGTTTTAAATTTTTTAAAATCCCGTATAGTTCCGAAGATTTTTTAGCTTCGTTAATGAAACTCGGTACATAGGTTCTCCTTGTTGAGCTCTTTCATCTGTTATAATTCGTGTGTAGATAGTGGGCCTAGGGGGACGTTATCATTAAAATAAGAATACCATGCTATTCTTACGGGGGTTTGACCTTTTGCTGACGTCACGATATTACAGATATAGAAGAATAAAACTTTGGGATCAGCTACTACTCTGTGTATCATTTGATTTTCGTGACCATTTACGTCACAGTTATTCCCGCCTCTGGGGAATTAGTTTCGTTTTCCTTTCCCGAGCTAACGCCTCCCCATTTGCAACTACAGACTCCGGACTGGTTCAAACGAATTCCTCTTGTCTTATCCCACGAACAGGCCGAGTTTCAAGTAGCTAGGTGCTCTTCTTCTATCTTATTTAATTGTTTTAATTTTTTTAATTATTTTAAAATGACCATAACCTCGTAGGCTCTTCAGGCGGATGTCTTTATTTTCTCGGGAACGATTCTTCTAGCCGATGCATTCAATATGAGGTCTCAGTGGTCACATTCGGTTCACCTCATCTCCAGATACAGTCTGCCAAAACCCTACCATATTATCGGTCCTATTGTCCCTGTGCGAGGTATTTAAATTTTTTAAATGTGTGTGATTATCTCGGGTTTGGCTGATCCGATTGACTGCGACTGCCTACCTACGGACTCAATTTTTTTATAAAAACAAATTTTTGAATCAAATTGATTGTTTTTAGTAAAAAAATAATTATATATATATATATATATATATATATATATATATATATATATATATATATATATATATATATATATATATATATATATATATATATATAAATACATAAAGATTTTTAAATAAATTTTAGAAAAATAGGGTGTTTTCATGGAATTTTTACCAATTTTTTACTAAAACGGGTAACACTGTATAGAAATTTCTAATACAATTATCATAATTTACTTAATACACAACATACATATCATGGTACTTTTCAAAATGAACCAAAACCTAAGAGAAATATTAAAATACAAAAAAATTACAGATAATTATACATAATAATAATTAAAGTTTTGACGTTTTTTAAGTTTATTCTCTATAAAAACTACCCTAAATGAAAAAACATTTAACCTACAACAAAATTTATATTCCACTTTATGAAAATTAGTATAATAAACATTGCCACAAAATTTCAAAACATTAACTGGTTTGGTTCTTATATCATGCATCTCGTAAAGAAAGTTCTGTCAAAAATATAATTTTCAGAAAAACTCATTTAAAGTTTTATCTTACTGCCCTTTTGCATAGAGTGATGTTTTTACAAGCTTTTATTTAATTTGCATTGTAAAATGCTCGGGTGGAATTTTGCAACTCAATTTTGAAGCTGATGTCTTGAACCGATTGAGTTCAGATCTTGTATACACGATTAGTTTGGATGACAATGCATGTTTTTATCATTTATATTCCGATATCGCAATTAGTTAAAAAGTATTTAATTAAAGTAATTTGTTCGGGTGTAATCTTACAACTCAATTTTGAAGAGCTGATGTCTTCAACCGATTGACTTGAAATTTTGTATACACGTTTAGTTTAGATGGCAATGCATGTTTTGACGATTTATATTCCAAAATCGACCTAGTTACTGTAACGATCTTGCTCAGGTGTTAAGGCGAGTATGTTTACATTAACATAGGTATTGACCGGGGCCGTAGCTCAGATGGTAGAGCTCTCGCTGAGCATGAGAGAGGTACGGGGATTGAAACCCCGCAACTCCAATTATTATCTTTTCGTGTAAAATATTTTTTAAACTGGTTTGATTTGTACAACGAGATATTTTACAATACTTCTCCTCAGCATATGTACAAAGTGTGCTATATTTTTACAAGATTTTATTTAACTTGCAATGTCAAATGTTCGGGTGGAATCTTGCAACTCAATTTTGAAGCAGATGTCCTTAACCGATTGAGCCGAAATTTTGTATACACGTTTAGTTTGGATGATAAGGCATGTTTGGACCATTTATATTCCAATATTGCAGTTAGTTAAAAATACTGGCTGCATGGCCCGGCGTTGCACGGGCTTTTACTGATAGAATAAATTAAAATTCCCTGTTTGGAAAATTTTTCTCTTCTTTTCTTTGTCAGACAGGTTTATATACCCCCCCCCCGGCGTGGCACCAACATTTTTAAATTTATAACATATTGACGTGGAAATTCCCCTTCCGCTCTCGCTATCAGAGCTTTCGAGTAAGTAAATTTTCCCCGATTCTTAAGCAGCTTCACACGTGCAGATATATAGTGGCACAAAAAGTAATGAAAAAAAGTAATGCACAAATGAAATTCATAAAAAAATTTCACATTTTATTTTTTAAATCACTAACTGAAAAAGACCAAAGTATGAGTTTTTAATAAAGTCATTTTGAAATAAACGCATTGATATTGATTTACTTTAGAAAAAATCATAAGAATGTAAAGTATCGTTGTTTTGTAAAAAAAAAAAAAACTGTGTCGTGACGAAATTAGTTATCTGTCTAATTACAAAATTGCTGGCGAAGTTAATAAATGCGCGAATAAAATTTTGAGTATTTTTTTACAAAATCATAAAAGCTGAGCGATGATTTTGTTTCGAACCCGGTTACACAAGTTACTAATTCAGTAAGCACTCTAAGCGACCAATCCACGAAATCTTCGGAAAAATAAATAAAAGACCGTTGAGAGAGAAATAAAAGGAGATATTCAAGTTCGAATTGCGTTATTTGTTCAAGTTTAAAATCTTTTTTCGGACTTCATTTTTAAGTTAATATCTTCAAACTTCATAAATCGATTTCAAACAACGGTATTTTTTAAACAAAAAGGTAACAAAAATAATGCTTAAATATATCTCGCAAAAAGGAAAAAAACGAAAAAACACTTTTTCTTAAACCGTATTTTTTAAGCAACTTTTTCAATCTTTGTACAGCTTACAGATAATATTGTTCTACATTCGGATTAAATGTTTCATGAGATTATTTTTATGAATAAAGCAACTATTAAGAATTTAAATAAAATTTTGAGTATTTTTTAAAAATCATAAAAAAACGTGTGTAACGACTTTATAAGTTGACAGCAAATAAAGTTTTAAAAGAAAAGTTTATGTTATCCTTTTTAGAGCATTTAAATAAAAGCTTGTTTGGGTAGAAAAATGTTTTTTTTTTACTTTTTACTTATTTAAAATCACTATAACTTTATTTCTATTTTATGTAAAGGAAAAAAAACTGTTTTGTAAAGAAAAACTTTCTAACTATAAGATTTTGAAATAAAAAAATGGCGTATGTAGACGAAGAACGACATTTTCAAGGTAGACAGTCACCTTAAGGTTAGTATCGTTCAATTCTGCTCGTGGCCGCCTTTCGTCCTGGACCCAGTTTGCCATGCTCAAGACTTTTAGAAAGATTTTAATCTTGTTACGCCAAAGAAGTATAACTTCTTACGTGCGTACATAAGCGTACACACACACTTATTTTTCTTATTATTATTTTTTTCCAAAATGAAATGATTACCTGTTATTATTATATATACAAAGTGTGGCTATTAAAAATAATGATACTGACGCTACTACGGAAAAAGTAAGCATGCACCAAACGCCAACAACCAACAACTATTTAATGTAAGTCTTCCCTTTCAAATGCAGTGCTTCTAGTTTCTGTAAACAAATCTTATTAGTCGTAATCTTCGTCTGTATTATTTATTATCTTGCTTCGCTAAAAAAAATTATAAGTGTAGCTACAGAGCAATGACTAGTTGTAAAATTTCTCTTAAATCTCGAAAGAACAACTACTGAAACACAATTTATGTAAAGAAGCGTATGGTAATAAAGGTTTATTTCGTGAAAGTGTTTTTGAATGGCTTAAGCATTTTCAAAATGGGAGAGAAGACTTGGAATACGATTCATGCCTCGATTTCCTCGTCAAATTTTGATGACAATTTCGAAAAAATCGGTAATCTTGTTCAATCTGACTGTTGGTTCAGTATTCGTGTTATTAGTGGCACTGTAGGAATGGGGACAAAAAATCCATGCAGAGAGCAAATTCTACGTAAGAATTTTGAAATACACAAAGTGTATGCCAAAATGATGCATACAATTTTTCCAATTGAACAACAAGAAGCTCACAAAAGTATTTGCTCCCGCACTTTGAATGCCATTGAAATGACCCAAACTTTCTGAAAATGTTATTGAAAGGTAAAACAAAAACTCATAATCATTCATTTCCATGCCATCTACCTGGATTCCATTCTTTAAAAACAGGTTTCTGGGTGTAAGCAAGTAATTATAACAATATGAGGAGGCACTTAATTACAATATTAGATTTAAAATACATTAAAATTTTTATTTATAGAACAAATAATTTACAGACAAAATTATATTGAAAAAGGCTCAATTATTAACAGCGGATTGTCTTACATGCTTCCTTATTGAATTTATTAATCAATTGTGGAAAATAAGTAGAAAATAATTTGGTTAATTAACGGCAATGAAGTGTAATTCATGGAAAATATAAATATGAAGTATAATTTAAATTCCTTTTCTTTTATTTCTTTTTTCAAAAATTACTTACTAAGTGCGTGTTCCTCGTTTTGAACTCAATTCTCTGTGGAAAAGTTACATCTTATAAAGAAAATCTAATAACTTATTCTCGGTTCAAATTACATTCAGAATTATGGTTCTGCGTGCAGTCTGCAGTAAGATTTAAATGACACCTAATTTAATTATCTGAGCAAAACAGCGTTCTTTCGAACAACTTATTTATCATTTCTTTTTTTTTTTTTTTTTTTAGTAATTAAATTTCGAACCAAGATAAATTCCGTTGTTTAATTAAGTAGTGTCTTACGAATGTTATTTGCTTTAAATATATAATTACTGAGTATTTTTTTTAAAAAAGAATATATTAATCTTACTTTTCTGTGTTTAGCCCCTTCGCGCTAATTCATTTAACATTATAATATAATCAATTTCGTTTCTCTGAAATTTTTTTTAATTTAAAAAAAGGATAAATTCTCCTTGCTTTTAACTAAATGAGAAGAAGAAAGAGTCACTTAGATCAGAAAATGTGGTATCTTTAAAATAAATTTCATCATGCTTAAAGCTTTGTTCGATATCTGTATAGTTCTATAAAGGGCAAAACATTATGTGTTTAGAGCGATATTTGTAGTATACGCTATTTCACAAGACTATTAATCCATTCAGAATTATTTTTAAGAATTACTTAGGGATAGTTTAAATAAAAATGATTTTCTAATGAATTTTTTTTATTCTAAAATTATATCTCTCTTGCAAGGTTAAAATACTTATTCTTGAAACTTTTTCTTTGGATCTAAACTATAGTAATATTTCTCTTTCACTACAGTAGCTAATGATATGATTTCCAAAAATAATTTTTAGCAAAAATAGCCTCGAAGGGCATTAGAAACCATATTCTTGCAAATAAATATAATTTATTGTAAAATTGGGAAAACAATCCCGTTTACTATTATATTCATAAGCTGCTCAAGTCAGCGTTTAACAAACTGTGGAGCACTTCCCCTAGAGAGGCCTGATAACTTTACGTGGGGGTCGTAAGCACATTGAAAAATCGCAAATAAAAGATTTTATAAAAATTATTCATTTTGTGATGTCGCCCCTCTCGGGTGACCATATCCTTGTTTATCAGCGTGAGCTGGGATTATTGGAAGAACTAGAAGCATACATAATCTTAATATGACTTTATTAAGATTTTTAACTTAAACCTTTAACAAATTAGATTATAATAATACATGTGAGAGAATCTACGGTGGCAAAACACACACTATATCTATATTACTGAAATTACTTTACTCGGACCACTATCAATAACTGACTCGCCTAAACTCAATTCCAATACTATCGCAGATCCTAATATTAAATAGTCAATCCTACCTTAATGTAGTTTGAAGTGGCGATCACAGTAATCCTAAAGAAAGTTGCGTATCTACTCGAATCCAATGGTATGCACCTTGACTTAAAGGTTCTATATCACGTATAACTTCCGATAGCTGTCACTTAATGTTTTCCAAAACCTCTTCGCGCTTGAACCACGGATTATCTTTACATTCCTCAAATTGCCACACCGCTTACTCTCTAACTTCTGATATTTAAAAGCTTCCTAATTTGTATCTTTCCTTTACGCTTCACTTCTTCGATTTGGTTGGAAAAGAGTTTCATTAATTTTGGCCCCAAACAGACCAAAGGACATGTTAAAGAAAATACGCGTGAACCCGTCACAATTTAATGAAAGTAAGCAAAACAAAATATATTCTAACATAATAAAAAATAAAATACTCATTTAGACTGATATAATATACGTATAAGTACATCAGTACTGCTCTCTTAATGTACTTGTTAGTTAATTTATCAATATTAAGTTCACAACAAATGTAATATTTACTAGTGCCTTCCACGGGTTTGTTAATTACAAAATTTAATGCTTAGTTATTAATTTGTGTGGTACATAATTAAACTCGTATTGTAACTTTAGCGACAAAATACATTATTATTGCAATCAATACATTGTTATTGTATGAAGTGGAGGAGCCCCCTCCCATGAAAATTATGATTGAAAATTGAGTCACCAATGTTGAAAAATTGAGAAGCACTAGCTTAAGTGATTCTAAAATAAGAAGATAAAAAAATAACATGCTTTAGACATATATAAGGTTTTTAAGAATTCCACTTACTATCCAGACTCTTTACAATGAAATGAAAAAAATAAAAATTCGAAAAA